ATTTTTCTCTTTGGAAGAACTTAGAAAAACTTAGCAATTTATGTGCAAACATTTTGCACCTATTTATACTAAACATTTTAGCATAAAATAATCAATATTTGATTATTATTTTTTTTCGGAACGATAGAAGATACTATAAAGAAAACAAAGGAAATACAATGTTCAACCAAATACAACATGAGAGACACATCTAACAGATGACCTAGAACCTCAACTGAACCTACCCATATAAAAAAACAAAAGAACAGATTTTGAACCACTGCCTCAAAGCCTAGTCAACTCCTGCTCTTGAAACTAAAAAACAAACAAAGCAAAACAGCAAGCTAGAAAAAAGAAACAAAGCAATGAAACTATTCATGACTCCCCAAAGCTGCAGTGAAGCTCATCCAGTCAGAGAGGGCAGCTTTAATGGCAATGTGGGGAGGAGGTGAAGAGTGCTGAAAAATCCAATGATTCCTAGTCTTCCAGAGCCACCAGAGGAGATAGGTGGACAGCTGAATTCTATCTTCAGCTAAATCTGAAAGACCAATGCTACAAACAGCATGCCACCAAGTTCTGAATGAGTGTCTGAGATGAACAAAATCAGGCCAAGAAACTGGGGCTATTTTCCATAAGGTACAAGCTCTTGGACACAGCAGCAAAACATGCTCAATAGTCTCAGGAGATTCACCACAGTTCCTGCATATGACATCAATATCAAGCCCCCTACTCTTCACATTCACCAGAACAGGCAAAGCTCTTGAAAAGCATTTCCAAATGAAGATCTTTATTTTCATCTGCACTTTAAGGGACCAAGTTCTTTTAAGAGACAGAAGCCAAGGATTAGGAGTTAGGCTGCATTCAGGTAAGTCCATAGTTCTGACTTTTTGTGCCACCAAGTGAGCATAGGTGCAGGATACTGAGAAAATGCCTTTCTTATCCAATGCCCAATAAATCCTGTCTGGCTTATCAGGTTTCAGAGAATTGATATTTAAAATGGTTGTGTTGTCCTCAATATTGAAAACATGTCTAATTAGCCAATCATTCCAACCCTGACCAGTATCAAGCATCAAATCTTTGACAAAAATCAAGTGATCTCTAGCAATATCCAAAATATCAGTAGAGGGCTTCCTCAAATTCGGCACCCAATTAAGATCAGAAATTCTTGTTGAGGCCCCATCCCTCCCTAATCTCAGTATTCAGCCATTTAGAAAAGAAAGGCAGAACATCCAACCAACAGTTCCATAACCAAGAACTTTTCTGAGATTTTGCAGCTTTAAAAATAGAGGTGTTGGGAAAATACCTGCGTTTTAAAACCTTGCTAACCAAAAGGTCTGGCTGGCTGGTTATCCTCCACAGTTGTTTGCAAATGAGTGCCTCATTAAAAAGCTTAATATCCAGAAGACCAAGGCCTCCATTTTGCTTAGGAATTGTGAGCTTATCCCAGTTTTTCCAATGTATACCCCTGAGTTCCTCTGAGCAGGTACTCCACCAGAATTTTGCACAAAGACTTGAGATGACAGAGCAAATGGATACAGGCAGTTTAAAGCATGACATTGTGAAAATAGGCAAAGACTGCAACACAGCTTTCATCAGCACTGCTTTACCTGCAGAAGATAGTAATTTGCCTTTCCAGCTCTGTAATTTATTCTGAACAGCATCCACTAAATAAGAAAACACTTCTTTCTTTGACCTTCCAATGCCTAAAGGCAAGCCAAGATATCTAGTGGATTTGTAGGTCTGAATACCATGAAGAACTGTACAGATACTATGTTGAAGAGTACTGGGAGTATTTCTACTAAAAAATATAGCAGATTTTTGAAGGTTCACCGTTTGACCAGTAAAGAGCTTGTATTTGTTCAAAAGATCCATAAGAACTTGAGCCTGATCAACACCAGCCTTACAGAAAAATATTGAATCATCAGCAAATAGCAGGTGAGAAATTGTAGGACCATTTTGAGACAGCTTTAAACCCTTGAAATTACCAGAAGAGCAGGCATCCAAAATCAAAGCAGATAAAAGTTCAAAAATGATGATGAACAAATAGGGGGATATAGGATCCCCTTGCCGGATTCCTCTTGAAGGACAGACATAGCCACTTACTTCACCATTAATTTTGAAAGAAATAGAAGTGGTGGTGATACAAGCCATAATCAGTTTGACAAAGTCTAAGTGGAAACCCATCTGAACCATAATCTTTTTAATGCTCATCCATTCGACTCTATCAAAGGCCTTCATAAGATCGAGTTTTAAGGCCATAAAAGAATTCTTACCAGAAGAGTGCCTATTCAAAAAGTGGAAGGCTGGCCACAATGACATTATCCAGCAACTGCCTCCCTTTAATAAAAGCCGATTGTTGTCCACTGATGCAATCATTGAGACATGAATGGAGTCTCTGTGCAAGGACTTTTGAGATGACCTTATACACAACTGAGCATAAACTGATAGGTCGAAATTGACTAAGAGATTCTGAAGATGCACACTTTGGAATTAAAGACAGAATAGTGTGATTCCAATATTGTAAAATTTGACCAGAGGTGAAAAAACTGAGAATTGCAGCAATAAAATCAACCTGAATAATAGACCAAAGATGTTGATAGAAGAAAGCACTCATACCATCCTCCCCAGGGGCCTTGTCAGAAGGAAGACTGAACAGAGCCAATTTGATCTCCTCCTCTTCAACTGGCTTCAATAGAGCTGTGTTCATCTCTTCAGATATTGAATGAGGGATTAAGTGAAGTATAGCATCACCTCCCCAGGAGCCTTCAGTTGAAAAAAGAGTTGAGTAAAATTCAGAAATATGGGATTGGATGACCTGTTTGGAAGAAAGCTCCTCTCCCCTCGATGAGATTAGTCTGGATATAGCATTTTGCCGCCTTCTTTGAAGAGAGTAAGCATGAAAAAATTTAGTGTTACAATCACCATGCTTAAGCCAGTTCATTCTAACCTTCTGCTGCCAGTAAAGCTCCTCATTGCGGTGAGCCTTTTCAAGTTCTATTCTGGTAGAGTTCCAATCCTCCCAATTTGAGGCAATTTGCTGCTCCCTCAATCCCTCAAGTCTTTGAGTGAGAGATGAAACTAAGAGCTGGTTCTGAGAATGAAATTTTGAGCTCCATAAGAGCAGAGCAGCTCCGGTGTTCTTTACCTTTTCTTTGAGTCTGTAAAATGGGGTGCCAAGAACTGGAAGCGACTAGGCCTTTGTTACCACTTCCATAAAACTATCTTTATCAACCCATCTCTTATCGACATGGAATCTCTTTACTTTCCTGTCCCTAGGAAGACCAGCATCCACCAACAAGATAGAATGATCAGAAGAGCTTGCCACCTTATTAAGGACCTTGGCATTTGGAAATAACTGATGCCAATCCATGGAGCCAAAGGCTTTATCCAATTTTTCCTCCACTAAGCCTTCTGCAGCCCTGTTATTACACCAGGTGTAGTGATGCCCCAACATCATTATTTCCTCCATTTCCATATTCCTGATGAAAGAGTTAAAGCCCGAGAAACTGCTATAAGGCCTTGGATTCCCACCCAGCTTATCTGCACTTGAACAAAGATCGTTCCAGTCGCCAGTAACAAACCAAATATTACCCCAGTTATTCCTCTCTAACTCCAGCTCAGACCATTGAGAAGTTCTGATGGCTCTGTTAGTGCTGAGGTATACAAACACCCCCCATTGAGGTTCTGAAGAAGAAATCTGAAAACGGACTGCAATAAAGAAACCAGAAGCTTGGATTTGGAGAACAGTGACAGAGGACTCCCACAGCAACAAGAGACCCCCACTAAGGCCTTGAGGATCTACTATAGAGAATCTATCTTCAAAGCCTAACTTTCTACTAACTGACTTAACAAAAGCACTAGTTTTTTTTGTTTCTGAAAGAAAAATAAAAGATGGGTGGTGGGCTCTAATAATCCCTCTGATTTGGGAAACTGTAGAGGGCCACCCAGCCCTCTACAGTTCCACACCGCAACTAGCATTGGGAACTTGGGTGCCATTCGAGGCTGGCCACCCCCACCTGATCCGATGAAGTTTTGGTCTTCTTATTCTCCAAACTCTTGGAATCAAGAGCAACCTCCGTTTCAAACTCTTTAGATGTCTCTTCTCTCATCCTCTTCCCAGAAGAAGAAGTGTCTGGTTGTGAATAGGGTTCTGCTTGCCTCTGCAGCTTGCCCTCTTTAGTTCCCAACCTTTTCCAAGTTGACTGCTTGCCTTTTCCTTTGCCAGCATGCTTTGGCGGACTGATAATTGATAAAGGAAGAACCCTAGTTTCAATATCCATGGCTTTGCTTAAGTCCTCCTTGAAAGCTGGGACACTGGAAACCCCAGTGACCTTTTGAAATTCTGTATGCGAGCTACTCGAAGAATCATTAGCCGATGATTTAAGATTAGGATTAGAATCAGGAGTATGAATAATGAGTTGATTCTTGAGGGATGATTGGCTGTCCAGTGTGTGTTGATGAGATGTGTGACCTGGTGATGAAGGTTGTTGGGAACTTCTGGGACTGTGCGGTGGGCTCCTGGAGCCTGAGTTATGATTACCAGTAGCCCAGAAGTTCCATTCTGGAGCCTTAAGCCAGTCTCCGTATTGACCTTCCTTGAGGCTACGAGATTTTATATCTTCAACTTTCTTGATGCAACCTTTTTCCAAGTGTCCAATGTGACCGCAGTAATGACATAGGTTTCGCAGTCTTTCATAAACAAAGTTGATGGAGGCTACTTCATCTCCAAGTCGAACCTTAGTACATCTGGGGACGGGCTCATTTAAATCCAGAGTGACAAGGAGTCTGAGAAATTTACCTCCGTGATTTCCATAGTTTGCTATCACAACATTATCAACTTCTTTAAAAACTGTGCAAATTTTGATGCCAACTTCTGTACAAAGCCAATTTAAAGGAACATTTTTGACTTGAACCCAAAGTTTGAGCTCCTGAAAGGTTGGGTGTTTGCTATTCAGACCAGAGCACCATTCTCTAAGAATCAGATATTGATTCTCAAAGCTCCAATTAGTACCATAACTGACTCTCTTTTGATCTTCTTTACTCTGGAAGATAAATTGAAAGTAATTCGGTTCCAATTCCTTCACCTCCATTGGTTGAGCGAGCCTCCAGATCTGGCTCATAGAGCGTTTGATCCCAATCCAGTTGGGTGGGCGATCGCCAATCACTTTTCCGAACAAACTGCGATTGCACTCATCGGCACTAACTTTGATATCGTCCTTTGCTATATCCACAAGCAAAGCCTCTCTTCATGATAGAGAGAAGCTTTCCATACGTTGAGAGAGATCTTCATCTTGGCTGGAACTCGAAGCTCCCGACATTGAGCAAGAAAACCCTAGGAAAAGCCCCAATACGCAACAAAATCGAAAAAACACCCACAAAGCAAGGCGAGAAACAAATGCTCAGAATAGGATAGCTAGGAACCACTCAGATGAAATAAGAAACGGAAGAACTGAAGGGGAAACAAAGATCAAAAGCTCCCAATTGAGAGAATACGGCTCCGCTCTCAAACGAGAGAAAATCAGATTTTGTCTTTTAATTAATAATGTGGAGTGGTTTATAACCACCATCAACCACCATTATTTTGTCTCTCAATTATTTGAATCTTTAATCATATTAAAGATAAAATAATAAAATAATAATTCTTGAAAATATTTTTCAAGACTTTATTATTTTAATCTTTTCTTCTAATTTCCTTATTTAATAATTATTTGGATTTGAAATTTAAAATCCAATTTTAAATTCCAACTATTAATTAGTAATTCCATTAATTACTAAATTAATATCTAAAATTCAATTAATCAATCCAATTGATTA